TACATCGAATAGAAACATTTGAGGGGGTAAGAGTTAGAAAAAAAAATTAAAAATTTTGTTTGAAGCACCCTAATATACACGTAATATATACAAGGTTCACAGAACATATAAAACTAATGCACCTGTAAATATGATGTTATTCGTAAATATACGTTTCATAAATGGCGAAGAATAGGATTCCATTACCATTACAAAACATACACAATGGGTATATCACTTGTGCGTATTAATAATGCAGCATCGCATTTCAATTATACAGTTGCCCATAAAAAATAAAAATGACGGTGACTCATTGTTTATGAAGTGGTTTCTTTTAATACAACAAACTAAACTAATGTGCTACTACAGAAGCCAAAATACACTCGCAAGATCGTTAAAATGATAATCAAATAAGCCAGAATAATATACAGAACAAGTAATTAATCAACTGATCGTAAGTGCATCGTTCATCCAACGAAAAATTAATCTTAAGACAGTTTACTACCCACCTATGAAGATAGAACATCTTTTTTCAAAAATTTTAGATTGTTTTTGCTTTTAAATAGCACAGTGGGTAACGATGGTTCAAATGCTAAGTAAAAAAAACTTCTTTGAACACTCAAATGTGGTTTTTGAAATAAAGCTTTTAGGCCAAACAGATAGATCCTTTTAAGAGCGTATTAAAGAACATAAAATATAAGAAACTTGTGAGGAGGGCAAATGTTCATTTTTTTTTTATTTTGAGTAACAAATCAGCTTGTAATTTTCATCCTGCAATTTGCCTGTCAGATAGGTATGCGTTATAAAACGAACACTTCACCGATATACAATGCAATACAGCCAAGCAATTTTAAAGTAGATGAACATCGCTCTTACGACAATGGACTAAACGGTATAATTATAATAGGCGTCCCATATCTAGATTATGACACATGGAAGATCTTTTCATAGTCAACTGAGCATTCCACGGTCTCTTGATCGCACAACTGTTGTAAAATACATACAAATACACATATATGTACCTACATATATATATGGTCTTATTACATTGTGACCACAATTTTAATAACGCTAAATTAACCATTCTCTTAAACATGTTTTTAGCAGTAAGTATTAATCCTCGTTGTCAAACCCTTCCAAAAAACTAAATGAATGGGACTTGCACCCTGAGGTGCCCATGATAATGTAAAGCTTAAGAAAGAGATACTCTGTAATATCTATTTATTTGTGATGATTAAAAACAGAAATGCCTGTCAAGCTAGCACATCCACATCACAAAATTGTAACACGATTCATATGACAATTCGTGTTTTTTTTAGTTATCTAAAATTAAAATTTTAATACTCCATTCCTTAAATTAAAATTAGGGGTGGTTCTGAGTGATACCTAAGGTAACACCCTCACACCAAAACGGATCGACAGAGATAATAAATCAATTAGATTAATTATATCCTATAAGAATTACGAAAACTCCAAAAAAGAAAATTAATAACGTATTTATTTCAAGTATTCAAGGATATTGAAAGAAAACTACAGCAGGATAGTCCTTAATAACTGAAGGTAACAACGTGGATATCGAAACGCGTTTTAAAGTAAAAGTTTTATGTAGAATCTCGGGGCCTTATTAGTGTTTTATTTGACATCATCACAAAAAATTAATATTTAGCCAATTACAAACTGGAAAAATACTTGTATAACCAAAATAAGTACATATTAGGACCTGTAACGAAAATTCCCTGCATCTGACTTATATTTTGACACATAATTACAAAAGTCTTGTAAATTGTCTATTTCGCAGTTTAGTCAAATAGGTAGGGTAGATCATTAGTAACTACGATTATAAAGGAGCAATTCCTTTATCAAGCCACCCTACCGCCTATTTAGCTAAACGGAAAGAATAGATGAAAAGAGAACCTAACTGCAAAGCCGAGCTTTTGTGAACAGTGAATTATTTCCACAGATCTGCCTGATTACACATTGCGAATTACTTTCTGGGTAACTTGCTACCCTCCTTTAATGACGAACCGTTTCACAAAAAAAAGTCCTTTAGTCATTTAAACTCGAAAATATCTTTCAAAATATATAAAACTCACCTAAAACAATTACTACATTTATCTAGACGCTTGACATAAGTTTCGCCCACCTTCAGAAACTACAATTGAACTTCAATTAAAGTTCTGAAGAAGATACAAGATGTTAACATGGTAATAAATGATGTGTATCACATGTTCAACCGCCACGTTAAAATATTATTATATATGCGTAATTTATAGCAAACTTGTAGTGAAAAAATTAATTTCCGAGTATGAAATCATGTTAACAAATCACATATTCATTTCAGTTTTCAGTAATCGGAATCATAATTCTCGAGAAATCGGACGATCCACTAGCTTGATGTCATACTAGCAAATCATCCGATTTCTCAGGACTACAAAATATGATATCAAGTAGATCATTTTCCGAGTCTGGAATCGGGTGAAACGAATATGTGATCTGCTAGCGTGATATCGTTATCTTTTCACTACAAACTACACGTTTTAATGTGGGAGTAGGGAGAAATTAATATGGGTCTATTTTGTTTTGATTAATAATGAATTTCCAGCACATAAAAACGGATTAAATAGAGTATATCGTGTGTTTCATAGGATTCCAACCGCTTTTGAGTCCTGAAATTTTAGGGATGAAGTTTTCCTGATACCGAAATTTTCGGAACTGACTATCAGTTTTATATAAAATACATGTTTATTACAAGCAAACATTACAAATTAACCCAGTGGGCTTTGTTGCCTATAATTTTAATTTAAACTAGAAAAATTCAGACCAAATATTCCAAAAATTCTGATTGAGTAACCCAATGGGCTTACTTGCTTATCATTTTAATGTGAGCAAGCTCACTGGGATAATTTCTGATATTTGCTTGGTTGATATTGATTGATAAGATTTGATACATATTTAATTTTTGCAGGGACCAGTCGTGGAATTTTTTTTTTATTTGTGTAAGTTTAAAGTGATCTCACTGATTTTGGAAAAAAACTTCATCACAAAGACTGAGTGATTTTAAGCCCGGTTCGCTTGACTCTAAATATGATTAGTTAGAATAATTAGATTAACTACATAAAATACGTTGATTATTGTATAAATTTTAATTTGTTGGATAAGGAGCTCACTTGTGTGAGATATTCTTCTTATTTTTTATTTGAAACGGGATTGGCTAAGTATAATCCCAAAATCCCGGGATAAGCCATAAGGGCAGGGATTGAATTCCCTAATAACACTGAAAATTAGATAAACTTCTAGCAGTATACTCATGTATTTTCACTATTTATGGTGAGAACTTTGAACTTTACCTCACACAAAAAAGTCAAACTCAATTAAGAAAATTAGTACATGCTTTTTTGCATCCTAATTTGTCTAATCTTTAAATCAAACAATAGTCAAGTTCTATCACTCTTAAGCTATGTTTGGAAAAGGTAAATTAGATGAGTACAATTAAAAATCGTTAAATATAAATATTTTATAGTCCCAAGAATAGAATGTTACAGTTGACTGGATAAATCTCTCTATTTTGTGATTTAATAGCCGTCTAATAATGCTTCAACTTTTTTTATATACAAAAAAGGACACGATGAACTTTGGAATTTTTCATAGTTTTTCACAATAAAATATTAATATTTACATGTAGTATAAAAAAATTAGTCACCCATTATTTTGAAATAAGTATTACGAATTTGATACTTGAAATTTAGTTAAGTATACTGGAAATGAATCATACATACAAAGATGCATATGATACATACATGTATAGAATGACTTCCACTGATTAATTTATCAACCTGTAATTCTAACTGTTATCAGAATTACTTAATCCATTAAAGATACTTGCTTTGATAACTTAGACAATAAAAAATATACACATGGGTGACAATAGCAATTTAAAATACAAACCTGAAAGGTACTTAAATTGCATGGACATACAAAAATCCACTGTTTAGATATCTGACTATTCAGCAGATTTTAATATCAAAATTATAATAGCAGACTATTTGTTAATGTCTAGTAAGTTCAATAACTTGTTTCAATGTTATTCAATAAATAGGATGGCCATTGTACAGAGAGGGTCAACTTGCTGGGATTGGGAGAGCACAAATTTTCGTCATTACAAATTAGAAATGAAAAGAGTCAAAATAAGTAAACATTCCTGTAGAAGCGTCAGATATTTTTGTTCTAAAAATAATCACCTGCATCCAACTACGGACATACGAATGCCTTTGCCAGTTTTCTAAGTTAAACCAAGATTAAATTTATAGGTACAATAAACCGGTTCAGAAAATTCCAATATTGCAAAAAGTATTTTAATATATCTTTATAAAACAAAGCAATTACTTTAAACTTGAGAGGAGTATTTATGATTCGTATTAAACCATAATAATTAATTAATTCACGGTGACGCGATATTGTTTATTTCAATGAAACCTAATCTCAGCTATGTAGGTTAGCAACAAAACTTGCTATTTGGGATTGTCTTTATTTATAAAAAAATTGCATTCACATTTTGAGGCAATAGTGGAAAAGAAGGATATGTTCCAATGGGAACAATGGTGAGTCATATTCTAACAAAAGAGGACCTCGTTTTTGTCTTCTTGTTTTTAGAACAAAACCATAAACGTGGACACCTATCTACACGTCGACTGTCAACGTCGGCCATCTTGTACAGGAACCGGCTATTTTAAGATTTTTTCTTAAATTATAACGAGATTTGTAACGATGAAAATCTTAATAAAAACCAAATGATACCAAAAACACATTGACTTATTAGTTTCTTTGTCTAATGATACCGGCTTCCATATATATTTGAAAAGAAAAGCAATAGACAGAAAAGGGCCAAGCCCTCAACTGTCATTGTTTCTGATAATGGTTACGGCTGTAAATGATTGATTAAAGGCATCCACCCTAATCACACTCTCATTCAAGTGGCTATCGTGAAGGAAATATACAAAGCAAAATTAATAAAGGGGACTCACATCAAAATTGTCAGATTTTGCCCATATATTGCCATCGTGTCCTGCGATCGCCGCTTTTGTTACACAACGGGAAGCAAGTAATTGCTTGTCTACATAATCCTGCCAGCTCATTTTGCTAATAAATAATTAATTGGTTCCCACCGAAAACACGAAATCTAACACTACTCGAAATCCTTGTTTCACTGAACGACAAACCACAGCCGAGTGTCGTCGAGGAGGCCTTGTTCACAGCGGAAATATACTCATCGACCACTGCGCAGATGGTCTGGTGTGAAAATAATCAGCGTAACAAAATCCCTATCAGATGCGGCAAATTTAAATTTAAATAACCGCAACCGCCGGAATTTCAGTAACATCTACAATATATTTTAAGTAAATAAGTATTACGACTACACGATTAGTTTGTTATTCCAGCACTGAATTATTTTTTCTATATGCATCTTATAACACACCTATTATAGTTTATTTTTCAACATTTTTAATTTTATTAAAGTGGCAATTTATTAAAAATAATCACTCATATTTAATTTAAGAATAATTTATGGATTACTACAATAATTATCTTTTTCCTGTTAACTGTTAATGTAATAACCAAAATTCTAATTTTCAATGTAACTTTTCTCATTAAACTGTTGCTTTTTGGATTTAAAGAAAATTGTCTGATCATATTACACTTTATTTTGTAAAAGTTAATAATCTACACAAATTTACAGTTGAACGATTAAAAAAAATAAACAGGCATTTAGTTATTAAAAAAGTATAAAGATGATCAATAAGGAATATTATTAAAACCTAATTTATCTATAACTTATTAAGAAACTAAAACGTAACGCTCATCATACGTTGAAAAGTTTACAAAAAATGAAACACTTAAAACTCTTTCATTTAAAAAACAAATTATTACAGCAACATTATCATTTATTTATAGATCAAAGTGTAAAAACTGGACAACATAACTTAATGTGGTGTATATTACAGTACATTTTGAACTTAGAATGTAATTTTTTAGTTAAAAAAGAAGCAAAACCGCTGTTGAATGGTTTATGGAACATCCTGCTTCGGTGTTGTGTCAGCCTGGAAGAAAAAGTAAAAGAACATTAACTTTACCAATTCACAGGGTTTTGCTTCTTGAAAAAAAATTTTGGAAAACATGATCCGGGCTACAAANATGAGCATCAAACATCGAAAATAATAATATTAAAAAAACTCAAATTACCACCTAAAATATAAAACAAAAAAAAAAATGTCGAAACCTATAACCAATAGTTTGGATACTTTTCAAATGTTAACGATAAAAATTAAAGAGTAAATTTATACTTTTTATGAATAAGTCTCATTTAAGCAGTATTTAAATCCGTTCAAAAATATTGTAATAAAAACGAATTTATTAAAATAATTTAACAAATTCTATTAAACCCAGTCAACTGCTAAGAAAATTTAAAATGTGTTGCGTAATTTGGCCGAAAATAAAACACAACACTAGTTGTCACCACTTTTATTGGCAATAATTAACCATTGACATACAAAACGGAGATAATCCTAAACAAATGGAATAACATTATTATTGTGTTGCTTTTCGTTTGGATCTTTTGTGATTGAAAAAACCTTTCCAAAAGCCAATCAGACCGTTATGGAGATGAACAAAGACATGCTGCACGGCGAGAGACGCAACATGAAGGGGGCCACGTCGAAGAAGACGTCGCCAAAGACGGCGTCGTCTCCATCGACGGCCCCCTTTACCTGCGCAAAGCGCCGCCAGCCTTATTATTAGTTACGCTGCTATAAATACAAACCACTACTACTTCTAAATAATAATTAATTAATTAATTAATTACAACACAGAAGGTCGATTTAAAACGGAACCGTATTTATGTTATAAACTGCACACTTAAAAAATGTTTTTCCTTTTATATTATGTATGTATTACTGTTATTAATAATAATTATTATTAATTCAAGATTATAGGAGGAGCAACTTGGATGCCTAATGAACAGACAACCGACTGTCGCGGACGCGCGCGCGAATAAAAATACGCACACCGACAACCAGCAGAATATATGCTCGCTCGCATAAGTCGCGAAGTATATATTTTTAATATATATTGATATTGTATAGACTGTTTTATTTTTTTTTTGCTCGGCCAGCTGAGATACTCACACCATATAATTAGAAAAAACTCTAGACGACCACCACAACGAGTGAACGACGACAACGGCGCCGGTACAACTGATGTAGCGGACGGGGCGGGGGTGGCGTCGCTTAAATCAGGTCCGCCACATTCATTGGCATCTCGTCCACATGAGTGTTATAAAATTGTTCGATATCTTTTAGAGTACGCTTATCGACCTCCGTCACGAAATTGATGGCGACTCCTTTTCTACCAAAACGACCACCACGACCAATTCTGTAAAGAAATTAAAAAAATTGAGACCACGCTTAGCAATGTAAACGGTATAGTTATGCTGTAACCACAATCGCAACTTCTCTTTAAAATTAATAATTTATAAACTATTAAATTGAAATAAATTCACGACAAGTCAATGGCTGTAGCTTTTGTCCATTGCAAAACCAATTTTCAGTGTTTTAACAGTATCTGAAGTTTACAAAGTGATGACTTTCCAACTTGTTCAGCAACAGTTAGTCTTAACACAAGCAAATTACAAAAAATCAGCTAAGGCAATGTAACTTTGTTCTGAATTTGAATAGAATCAATTTCAAATTAGAAATCAACATTTAGAACCTATGAAATTACAAATTCATTTCTTTAATCATTTCTATTTAATAAATTTAAATTTTATTCAAAGTTGAAAACCTTTATTAATGAACTTAATATAAAATTTCTGCAGCAAAATTATCAGATCTAAACTTATCAAATCATTATCTTTTGAAAAACTGATTGATAATATGATTATGTGCTAACTGTTTTACACTAATTTAACCAGAAACAATTTACCAGTAAACTCCCTTATCACACCAAAAATATCAATGCAATTGCTTTATTTAAGTTAAAAATATGAATGTGTAGTAAACTCAGAGAAAATGATAAAATTACCTGTGTATATAATTTTCTCTATTTGAAGGCAAATCATAATTAATTACAAGGGACACCTGTTGTACATCAATACCACGAGCTAACAGGTCAGTTGTAATGAGAACCCTAGAGGAACCAGTACGAAACTGCCTCATGATGACATCTCTCTCTCGTTGTTCCATGTCTCCATGCATAGCTGAAACAGTGAAGTCTCTTTTGTGCATGTTCTCAGTCAACCAATCAACCTTGCGCCTTGTATTGCAAAAAATAACAGCCTGAGTAATGGACAATGTGTCATAAAGATCACAGAGTGTCTCCAATTTCCAGTCTTCCCTTTCCACAAAAACATAAAACTGTTTAATACCCTCCAATGTCAATTCTTCTTTTTTAACTAAAATACGAATAGGATTCCTCATAAATGACTTTGTTACATCCAATACGTCTGACGGCATTGTGGCTGACAGCAAGATAACCTGAACACAAAAAAAAAACAAATAGAACATGTTACACTTAAATGTTTCATGAGAATAAAAAGAAAGACTTACCTGAACGTCAGCATTTAACATTTTAAATACGTCATGAATTTGATCCTTGAAACCTCTTGACAACATTTCATCAGCTTCATCCAAAACAAACATCTTAATGAACTGAGTACGTAAAGCTCTTCGACTAATCATGTCATACACTCTACCAGGAGTACCCACTACCACATGAACCCCGTGTTCTAACTTCCTCATATCCTCTCTAACATTAGTCCCACCAATGCATGCATGACACTGAGCAGACATAAAATCACCCAATGCTATAACAACTTTTTGAATTTGTTGGGCCAATTCACGTGTTGGGGCTAAAATTAATGCTTGGCACTCCCTTAGAGAAGTGTCAATTTGCTGTAGGATAGATATTGAGAAAGTAGCTGTTTTTCCTGTCCCTGATTGTGCTTGTGCTATCACATCATGTCCTTTAACACATGGCATAATAGCTCTTTGTTGAATAGCAGAAGGCTTTTCAAAACCATAAGCATAAATTCCTCTTAAAAGTTCTTCTTTTAGATTCATATCATCAAAATTGTCAACCACTTCTTCCCAGTTAGATTCAATGACACCATCAGGGTCCATTCCTGGTGGGCCATCGTAGCTTGGAGGCTCCTTTTCAGGACCGTTTTTCTCCCCACTCCACTCATCATTCCTGAAAGTAAAACCAACCAAATGAGTGTTTATTTACTACTTACAATTTGAAGGAAACAGAAATCCTTCAAAAACAATTAAAACAAAGGAGATGGTGATACACTGAGGTCATGTTAGCATATGTCATTCTCTATTTCTGTATTACTGAAATAAATGAATCTTAATAAAAATTACTTATTTAACCTAAACGAAGAAGTAGAGCATTAATTTAAGTGCAAGTAAAACTAATGAAAATGTTATATAAGCTTAAAAATTCACGGTTATATTCACGTGGGAGCAACTAGAAATAACCATCATTTTGCAAAATCTACCATCTGTCAAATTATCAAAGATGCAATTTCAAGAAACGATTCGTTCTACGAACTATTTTTAAAGCACAAAATCACTGTACAAGTCCGAAATAATTTTGGTTATTCTCATAACTATTCCAAAAGAAATTTCTTGATTTGATCAACGCCATGTTGGCATGAGCTGCTCCTACGAACATGCCGAAACTATTTTCTGTTACAAGTACACATTATGGTTAACTAAAATTAAAGATAACATTTACAACAAGAGAACTTCTTATAATCTCTAATAAAATTACTTAAAAATATTAATATGTTGGCAATGAAAACGAACTTACCTTCGTTCAGAACTAAGCGACATGTTTAACAAGCGTTTTGCTAGCAGAAAAGACTTCCAAGATTGTCCGCAAGGTGCTATATTTCCCCTACGTCGATGATTTAAATTTGGAAACTTTTTATTATTCAAAATTGACGTTACTGTACTTAGTAGATGATACACTCTGATTGATAAATAATTTTATGAGGTAGGTAAATTCTTGAATGACCGGCAGAAGTGTATAACTATAAATGTAAATTTAAAACTGCTGAAATTCCTTGAACGGATGTGACTTGTTAGTTAAAAAGGCGGGAAATTGAAATATTCTTTGCGAATACTTTGACACTTGAATTTTTCTTGAAAACGAAAAATTCACTAAATCAGGTCAATCAAATACAAATAATCAAATATCAAATAGTCAGTTTGACTTTATTTATATAATATTACACACTAAAACGTAAATCAAGTATAGACAATACAAAATAAATAAAAATTTTGTTAAATTTGTAAATTAAGAAAAAGAACGCATCTGATTTTATAGTTTTATTTAATAGTATTTTGAGAATAAAACTGTAAATATATTATGTAAAAAAAACAAAATTAATTTAAATCTACATGCAGTAGGTATTTAGAAATGATTTGAATTAAAAGTATACACAGAACTGAATACAAATTATATCACAAGTATGCACAGCCCAGTATTAGAATCATTATTAACATTGGAAAAATCATATAAACAGTCATTCTAGGATGGCAGGTGCTAACTAATAAGAAAACTTCGTCTCCTAGCTCAATACCATCTTTAGTGGGTACCTCCACAATCACAATCTGATATGACAAAAAGGGCACACTAAAAGTACATTCCCTCTGGTTCATACATTTCTTTTCTTCACTCACATTGGAATATTGAAATGTCGGTTTGTAAATATCAAAAACCACATGAATATCGTTACTTATATAGTCATTATCAGAATAAAAAATATAATGATAATAACCGTCCGAGGCAACGTTATGTATTGTCTGCAAATGTTCCCCATTTTCGAGGTAATGAACGTCAGTGCAAAGATGAGAAGGAGGAAATCCTTCAGTTAAAAGAATGTGTCCGTTATAACAAAATAATAATTCCGCTTCAAAACTGGACGCACTATCTTCATCATCAGTGTAGTTCATGGCATTACCACCGTGCTGAATTTTTGCGTCCAAAATGTGTCTTTCCAAGTCCCGTTTAGTTTTTCTTACAAGTAAATCAATCTTTTCGTTTGACCGGAGCGCCTGCTGAAGTTTATAAAGTTCCTGTTGAATTTCTTGCAAAGAATTTCTCTTTGAAACATTTTCAACTTTATATTCATCTGAACTGTTAACTTTCTTGTATTTACTTAACTTATGTTTAAGAAACAGTTCAACGTCAGTATTATTTTCATCTTCAGCCCCTACATCACCAGGCTCCAACAAAGATTGACTATCATTGAAAGGCATTTCTTGTTTAGCTTCCAAAGTAATTTTAACTTGCTTATGCTCAGTGTCGAATTGCGCCCCAACTTTTTTCATCTGTCTATCAAGTAAATGGCACGTTTTCAAGTTTCTTTCGCCTCTTACAACCAAAATTCTTGATCCTTCATATCGTGAGCATAGTTTTAACTTAACAGTAGCACCTTTGAGTAAATGGAAGCCCCAATATTCGAACGTATCATCAGGTAATGTCATAGATTTTTTTAATCGAATGTGTTTACGCCTGGTGGTGTTTATCTTCGGCACATCAGATAACTGAAAAGCATTGAAACTTCCATTCATTTTAAGGGTTTGTGACTCGCAAAAAATATTAGATATTCCATCAACTACTTCGACTATGTCCGATTCTGTTACAACGTACGCAACGTTTGCGAAAACATGATGACGAAGGTACAAGGGCAATATTATTAAAAATGTTGGGGTCACCATTATCATCAAAAAAAATATTACCACCCTTTTGGCACCATGCATCTTTCCAATTCCTAAAAAATTAAATACTTGCGTTAAGAACTAAACATCATTGGCATGTATGTGCATTCGGTTTTTTAGTGAATTACAGTTTTACCTTAATAAATGGTAAACGGGTAAACACACAAATTATTTATCACTCATTAAATTTTCGTTTCATTTCTATTCGCAAACTACAACGTAGAATTGAGCTATTTTCAGGATGGCTTATTATAAATAAAACTCCACAACGTATGTACATAATTATTAGTCACATATTATATTATATTAAACACTGAACAACTTTAACGTACATTAATAAAATGAGTTGCGACCACAACATAATTATTATTTTATTGATCATTTAAGACATCTATAACATATATTGAGATAAAAACCTTTTTTTATGGGTTGATAATTCTATAAATATAAAATTTACGAAAAACAAACAGAAACAGATGGAGAAAAATATACGTACACTTAAAACTATTTTTATACATTCATATATTTCGATTTTGTATGGTTATACATAGGTATAAAAAAAGGAAACAAAAAAATGATTAATAAATATTACAGATAGCGTAATGATTTTTTTTAGAGTTTATTACCTTATTTACTGACTGAATGCCATCTATTGCTAATAGTTGACTAAATTGTATTAACTGATAATGTAAAGTACATAATAAAAAATACTCTGCAATATCATATCAATCGCAACAAACACAGACGATTGGATCTGTTTCTAACTATTAACGTTATCGCAAAAAACATCGATTAAAGGGCATTGCACGTTTAAAAATCTATACAGATAAGCATATAAACATTTTAATATTCACAAATCAATACAATAAATTATTTGTCCTCAAAAATAAAATTTCTATTTGTATTCTCTTTTTACCAATTTCACATAAATGAATCAAGTAAATAACAATTATCTAAAGTAAACAACGATTAGACTGTGTCGTAACACCATGTTTGAATAATAAAAAAAACACAGCTAGTTAAATATTGCGTTATTTATTAATTAATATTTAAAAATTTTGCGTTCATTTTTTTTTTCTTTTATTAAAATAGTTGTTTATTATATCTGTACAATGTTCCTGGGTGTTACAAGAGACAATTAAACGTTTCTTATCTCACAGAACTAATAATGCAATTAAAATGGTAATAACACAGATAAAAACTCACCGTCATTGATCTTATTCAACGAACTGTACCTTTGGGCTTTGTAATAAACAATATTATTAGTTGCAGGAATTCCATGATCTAAATCCATGTTATATTGGTAAAACTCAAATATTTCGAAGTGAAAAAAAGTAAATTAAGAACGTTGTTAATTAACAATAAATCATCCTCGTCAACCGAGATAAGCAAACAGGTTGTTACAATAACTACAACATAAACAGTCTTCTAGTAGATTTAGCGGGAAGATTTTCTCAAATGTTTAGAACAAATGAAAATATGAATTGTTACGAAGAGCGTACATGAAAATATATGCTCTACAACTGGAGTATGAAACTTTTTGTTCATTTTGAAAATACTAACGATTAGCAGAATAAATATGAAAATATTATTTACCTCTACTTAAATGTAATCTTAAGGATTTAAGTTCACTGTTATCACTCCAATAGGAAATTTTAAATACATAACGTGTGGTATAACATTAATATATTTGGAAAATGATCACACAAACATACACAGCAAGCTTCAATTTTGTTAAACTTCTATCGAAATTAATTATGACACCCAGAAAGTTTTCAAAATTCTGTGATAATTTCTCTTTAGAAATAAAAAAAATATATACTTACATCAATTTCACACATGTATTAACATCTATTATAATTATTTTCTAAAAGTATTTGAATGAAATTAGAAGTGTATTGTTATGCTGCACAATTTCCATTTAAAAGAAAAAATTAACTATTCCTTCAATAAAACAAGAAATGCAAACAAACCTAATATAATGGAATACTGGTCAATGACTCATAATAAGAATTTCCGTTATTGCGAGTGGTACCAAATCGAACAGAAAGGTGAATAAAATCAAGCTCCACTACGCCAAAATAATAATTTTTATACTTTTCCAAAATGTATGTTGCATCAAATGACTCTCTTATACTATCTTCTTGTTGTCTGAAGTCCTTTTTTCGATACAAGCTGTTCATTAAAGTCACATGTAACTTCACATCATCATATCGCCTTTTTATCAAACCTGAAATATTTCAATAAGAAACAGAACACTGAAAATAAAAAATCAAAACTCAGAAATCAAATCCAAATTACCTTTAAGATAAAAGAATGTAGTAATTTTATTTACTAGAGTTTGAAAAATTGAGTGGTACTTTTCAGGATCAACCTTTACTTTACCATAAAGAATGTCAACATCAGTAGGATCATCATTCATTATTTCAACTCCTTCCATCTGAATATACAAAGGAGGATCAACATTCTCCATCAAATGCCTACAAATGCAAGCACAGTTAGATAATTGAAAAAAAAAATAATAAAATATAAATACTGACTTGACAACTTCATTTTTGCATTCATTTAAAGCACTGATTGCCCAATCAATTTCAATATCATCTAAAAGTACAAGAGGAGAAATTGTTAGATGAAGTTTTTCAGCTTTTTGAAATATAGAAGGATGGATTCCTCTACTACTGGGTCCATTTAGTATATTATGCTGTAATACAATAAATGAATACATGCATCAAATAATAGGCTAACACCAGAAATTCTTACTCGAAATGTTTCAAAGTTTTCTTTAATACTGCTAGAAAACACTCGAATGGATATAAAATGTGTCATTTGGTGCTTTTCTCTCTGAGCAAGGATTATCATATGTATTCTATTTCTGGCATAAGCAACATCTCTCTCATTGTTTCCTGTAATTAAAATGTTATTCTGAGGATGTTTTGGTATTCTAAGTTTAGTTCTTGTAGACATCTCTATTTCTTTTTTTGTTAAACCTTGGGTTCCAACTATAAAAGGAATGAAATAGCTGAAAAAAAGTATTAATATGTTTAATGAATAGGAAACATAGTGTTTATTAATGAATGTCTACCTTGCTGCGTGGATATCTGTCAAAAATTTACCAGACTTAGTTATTTTTATTTCATAACCATCATCTAATTCTTCACAGTTAAGTAGACAATCTAAAACAGTAACATCACAATTTTAAATAAATCCACAAAGCTATCAACTATTTCAATCAGTATAAACAAATGAGCACATCACATCGTACCTTCATTATCTGTATAAGCTGGTAATGTCTTCTTTACATTTTCAGAATTTTTATGTCTATCCCATTTGTAAAAACTCTCAAATGATCTGAATTGATAACCGCCAGGTTCAGTGAAAATTTCTGGTTTATTGAAAATCATGGAATCATTTGTAGTCATTAATGTATTATTTGAAGAGTTCATCTTCTAGTCTAATAATTTGAAGTACTCCAGATGAAGAACCCACCTCTTTATTTATGAAAAATCTTTTGTAAAATAAATACCAATAATAACTATGAAGACACAGATGGACACAACTAATTATTACATACTATGTTCTCATTACAGATTAATAAATTAAATTCAACTTGATGAAGACGATCAAACTGTATTCAACTGTGTAAATAAGTTGTCAAAATTAATAGGTTATGATTATTTATTCATTTATTATCCATTGATTTTCTATATGTTATCTATGCTTATGTCTATGCTCATTCATTCATCTGTTGGTGATCTATTGTTATGGTACGCTTAACCTCACAATAACTAACCTGAACTAACCAATAAAATATTTAAAATAATGAGAATCACATTTCTTAAATTACTGGTGGATATTCATGTTGTTTAAACTAGATTCAATATGTTTTATCACGTAAGTTTTTCTAAATAATAGGAATGTGGTTATGCCTTTAAATGTATTTGCAGATATCATTAGAGCATGAAATACTGCTTCATCCCCAATATTTTGGTCCACAGTTACTGGAAAAAGTAAAAACTAAACTATATACAGAAGTGGAAGGAACATGCACCGGCAAGTAAGTTTCTATAGACTCCATAACTTTGGCAATTTGTTATTTTCGTTAATGTTTAGGTATGGATTTGTGATAGCAGTAACAACAATTGACAACATTGGAGCTGGATTAATATTACCTGGGCAAGGATTTGTTGTATATCCTGTAAAATATAAAGCTATTGTTTTTCGGCCTTTTAAAGGTGAAGTTTTGGATGCAGTTGTTAGACAAGTTAATAAGGTATGCTTTGCTGGCTTATTCATCTTTTTGGAATAAACTTGTAATAAACTATTACTGTTTGCCTTATTTCTAATTTTTACAGGTTGGAATTTTTGCTGAAATTGGGCCACTCTCGTGTTTTATATCACATCATGTAAGTATTGCATATAATTTAATTCAAATTATCACTAATTATTTTTTTTATCAAGTCTATTCCTGCTGAAATGGAATTCTGTCCTAATGTAAATCCTCAATGCTATAAAACAAAAGATGAAGATGTAGTTATACATGCTGAAGGAGAAATTAGATTAAAAATTGTTGGAACACGAGTGGATGCAACAGGAATTGTAAGTTTTGTATATAATTTACAAAATGTAGTTAATTTCTTTTTCTTTTTTTAGTTTGCAATTGGGACTCTCATGGACGATTACCTTGGTCTTATAAGTAATTAACATTGTAATGTAACCATATGTAGATTTAATTGGACAGTAATTTAAAAAATTTTTAATGTGGTATCTACATTGGGGCATTTTCTTACTTTTATAAATTTATTATAACTAAGATGTAAGTGTAAGAATAAAATTATAGAAATTGTAATTAAAAGTAATAATAGACTTATAAAAATACCTCTGATGTATTTTAGTTTAATTTTATGGATTGAAGCCAAAATTAGAATGTAATTATACAAAAGTTTGTCTTTTGCAGAGATTATATATTTATTTTAATTTGACACACAGAAAAAATACATAGTAAGATATTAAATAAACTTGGTTATACAATTACAGTCCCATTAGGAGAGTTGTAGTAGATATCTGAGTATAAGAAGGGGCGGAGGCCTGTCTCACACTCATTTCCCAGGTATCTAGTAACTGAGAAACAGAAAAATGTTTGGGCAATTTTTTAATTCTTGCTAGTAAAGCTTCTTGAACTGCAGATAAAAATTTCGTTGCATTATATTCATGGGAGGCCATATGGCATTTGGGAGAACTTTTTGGATAATCTTCAGGAACCGTTAAAGAAACTGGAGGAACGCACGGTAAATGCTTATCATCTAGCCAGCAAAGAAGCTGAATAGTTTTGGAGCCAGGTTGTTGACTAAGATCTAGAGATACCTTAAACCTCTGATCTAAACGGGCAATTTCTCCTTGCAACACATCTGGAATGTCACTGGAAGGCTCTTCAACTCTTTTCCGTTTTAGTGGAGGTACCAGTCTTAGAAAAAGAGACCAAATGGTTAAACAGTTCAAAATTTTAAACTTATACTTACTTTATTTCGGGACCAAAGAGAGCCTCCAAAGTCGGACCAAAAGTCCTCTGTAATGTATGATTGATAACTGGAGACTGTAAATTATTGCTTACAGCTTCCAAAAGAGGATTAAAAGCATGATGTTCCTTGAATGTAAGACCCATTGTTGTCGTTGTTGTTGGAGGGGGAACACTAACATCATGTCTTCTGAAATCTTGCTTTTCCAAAACAACCTCACATTTCAACAAGGTTTCCAGGGGCATTCTTTGAGTTGGATTTGAAAGAATTTCTAGAAGCTTTTTCATCTTGCTCAGCTTTTCAACGTCTATAAATATAAAATATCTTTCTGCTACTTTTTTACAACAAATAAAAATTAAAGATGAAAATTAAAAAAAAAAAAACAGTAACTGATTGAAATTAAATAAAAAGATTAATAACCTACGCTCACCATCATTACCCATCTTGGCAATCATCTTTCTTAATGGTTCAATGTATTTACTGAGCTGTCGTACTTTTTCTCTGTATATTTGTTCCTCTTGCATTCCCATGGGACTTTGTCCAGGTTGTCCGGGTGTATTTAATGAGCTGCTGGGACTGGGAGCCATTCCAACCGACCTTTGAGCTCCAAGATTTATTTGAGAGTTAGGTGAAGGAGCAAGAGCTGGAGATGCAACCATCTGGTTTGTTAAAGGGGGACCCCCCAATCCAACAGGAGATTGGACAGATGGAGAAGGGCTTTGTCTTACAAATTGATTGGATGGTTGGTTTCTGGGGAAAGCAGTATTTGGCACATTCATCATCATACTGTCACCTTGTTTACGTTGTTGAATCTGGTGTATTTGTCCCAACATTTGATTAGATAACGGTCCACCTATTTGGTTTTGCAATTGACTTGGAAGCTGATTTGTGTTAGAAATTGGCCCCTGAATACCAGCATTTAATTGGTTTTGTAATTGACTTGTCATCTGATTGGTTAACTGGCTACCCATCTGATTTGCAACTTGCAGTTGACTTGTCAACTGTCCTGTAAACAAAATATTCTTATCTATAATATAAAAATGCTAATAATAAAGAATTACTGTTCATTTATACAATTAACAAAACACACCTGTCATTTGGTTCATTGCTGTATTTTGCATTTGTCCAGAAATTTGATTTGCAATTTGTCCACCCATTTGATTTCCCATTTGTCCTGGAATAGGGCCTCCATTTGGACTCATCATCATTGGAGGCCTTGGCTGCATATTACCAGGCATGTTGTTTAAATTTTGTCCTGGTCCTCTGTTTAAGGTTTGCAACAAATTAGAAGCAGAAATTGGGGGCATTTGCTGAGGACCCCCTAAATGTCCTCCTTGTGGTCCACCCATTCCCATCATCTGATTGTTACGTGAACCTTGACTGGCTAAATTTTGAAGTGCATTTATAGGATCAGGCATCCCTGCACCAGGTTGGCCCCCTCCTGGTCCAGGCATATTAGCAGCTCCCTTTTTTGTGTCTAATGATTTCCATTTTTTTAAACTGTTATTATTTAACAAACAAACAAATTATTAACAGAAATCACTTACTCATTTCTCTAACATGTAAAATTAATCGGGCCACAAAACCCAAATATTCTTCTCTAGTTTTTGCTTTTTGAAAAACATGACTTTCCATTTCTACACTATTCCTTGATGTAGGCATTCCAGACTGGCGTATAACTTCTTCGCTGTAATTTTTTAGTCGTAAGATAAATAAAGTAGATCTAAACAATAAAAAAACATCTTACATTTTTGTGACAATACTTTGTCTGAACGCAGCAGTACGCCAAGAATCGTCGGCCATTTTTCATTAAATGAATATATGATGGATATTTCAAGTTTTTAAGAGTACTTTCATACAAGAATTAATAATTATCTTCAATTTTACACCATCGCATGACAACAGCCACTCGTGAAAATATTATAAAGTGAATAAAATTCACAATGATCGCGAACTTCAACTTCAATAATCACTACAATGATCCACAATTAACAAAATATTTACAGTACTGTACGCAATTCACAATCTCTATCAACCCCATCGCCCATTGACAAATCTATGACAATAGAAAACAAGGTAGGAGAATGATTACAGGTTAATGATTATAATTTTACATGTAAAGTTGGGGTTTTCGACGGATCTATAACACCATGGAGAATACTATTAATTAAATAATAATTGTTAAAGAAGTTCAACCTTATAAAAACTAAATTTTCAAAATAAAATTTGAAGAAAAACGATACACCATTGATAAGAACCTTCAAATCATGACATCAGTTTGACGTTACAAGTGACAGCAGGTACAGCTGATTATAAGCGATTACAAGCAACTATTATCTATGACAAGCAATTTAGTTGACAGTTGATAACCAAAGTTTTTTATTAACGTAAAATTTGACCGTCCATGTAAGATTTTTATTAGTCATACAATTGCATTCAAAAAATGTTTGGGAAGAAGAAACCAGACAGGTCAAAACCTACTCGAAGAGCAGATCGTAGTGGCAATTTATCGCAGGTAAATTTCGCTTATACTAAATACTTAATCGTAAATTACATTGAATGTGGTGTAATACTGATAGTTTTTAGTTTGGATTATTTGATGTACCTACTAACTTATCGGTTGTCGGAAATATGGATGAGGATATGCATTTTAATGAAACAGATAGCGATTTGGAGGCAGAATTACTTGCTTTGAGTGGTGACAGTGGTTCCTCTTCGTATGTAAAGAGATCAAAAGATGTTACCAATATTGACACAACCGAATCCGAATCTAAAGATAATTCAGCAGATGATGAATCTGTAGATGAAAATGATCCAGAACTACTTAGTGAATTAAATGAAATCACTGGTAAACATTGTAAAATTACAATATTAATTATTTATTATACACTTTTGTTAAACAGGTGTCAGTAAGAAGGTACAATCAATTCCAACTCCTTCTGAATCTGTTTCTGTTACTACTGATACCCAGAAACTTTTGGAAGCACGTCTAGAAATGTATAAAGTTGCAGAGCAAAATGCAAAAACTGCAGGTGAAACTAGTCGTGCAAGACGCTTTAATAGAGGAATAAAACAATTACAAGACCTTATTAAGCAAGCTAAACAGGGGAAAACAATTCCGGAGGAAGATATACCTCCTGAAGTAAGCACAAAACCACATACCCACACAGATGATGATAATAGCCAGCTCCAACCAAATAGAACAGCACCTCCACCACCTACATCAACAGGTACACCTGTGCCTGATGATGAACCATCAAGCCCAGTTTATGTACCAGTTGAAAGCGATTCTACTAGTGTATTAAAACCAGAAAATGAAGAACTTTTAAAAATGTTGAATACCAGAAAAACAGAATATAAAATGGCTGCTCTAAAAGCTAAAAAATCTGGGGACAATCAGAATGCTATCAGCTACATAAAAGTGGCAAAGCAATTTGAAGTAGTTATTAAGGCTGTTGAAGAAGGCCAGGAAGTAGATTTGTCTGAAATGCCAGGACCTCCTGCTCCTGCTGAAACTATTTTGGAAAAAAATAAAACCCAAACCGGCAGTGATAGTCTTGGAGAAATAAATGTACCAGATGATATTCCTGAACCTACTCTGCTATCAGCCAGTTCCCTTTTAGAAGATTTGCAACAACGGTTAGAAGTATACCAGAAGCAAGAAGAAAAAGCTAAAGAAGAAGGAAACTCCAGTAAAGTGAGGCGTATGGGTAGAATCGTCAAACAATTTGAGGATGCAATTAAGCTACACAAAAATGGAAAACCAATCCCATTGGATGAATTACCTACACCTCCTGGTTACGCACCTTTAAAAACAGACGATGGAGACAGTCCTAAATCATCTGAAGCAGCTGCAGCTCCGTCTCCATCAAAACCTGCACTCCCAGCAAAACCAAAAGGTGAAGAATCTGGTAGCAAACCAAAACCTATGCCGGCTGCAAGAATCTCAGGTAAGTAGCAACAATTTGCGGTAAATATATCATTAATTTCTGAACTGTATTTCTGCAGGAAACCGTAAAACAACAACACAAGCAGACAAACAACTGGCTGAGTTATTAGAAAGGCAGAAGCAGTTTAAACTTGCAGCTTTAAAAGCAAAACAAAAAGGAGAAATAGCAGAAGCCAAAGAATTTTTACGTACAGCAAAAGGATTTGATCCATTAATAGAAGCAGCTGAAGGAGGACTTCCTGTGGATTTTGCTTCATTACCACTTCCGCCTACAGAAAAAGCGCATTTGGAGGACGAGTTAGTTTTACCAGACTACTCTGCTAAAAAGATATGTGGATATGTTTTATAATTCTTTAAAATTTTTGTAGAGTTGAGGTTGTTATGGCTGAGGAATGTACTGAAGATGATCAAGGAACGTTAGATGTGCTAAAAAGGCTGGAACAGCAACTTGTTAAACAGATAAAAATGTGCATAGAAACAAGAGATCATAATAAGGCAATTGGGGACGTTGCGGGCGCTAATCGCTTCGAAAATTTAGCTTTAAGTGTAAGTAAAGATTTAGACACCCTTCGACTTGCGAGAAAAACAGCCCTCAACGAAAAATCACAAGTACCTAAATTCCATTATGAAACTAAGCATTTTTCTATCGTGAAAACTTTCACGGAATTAAACGACAACGATTTGGAGCTGACAATAGTTAGGGGAGTGAATTATAATTGCAGTAATCCCAATGAAATTGATACATACGTTAGATTTGAATTTCCTTGGCCTCAAGTAAGGTTTCTTTTTCTAAATTTATGAGGAAACTTGTTAAAAAAGCGTTTTCTATTTTGTAGGAGGAACCAGTAAAAAATAAAACTAGTGTTGTGAGAAACACAAATAATCCAGAATATAATATGATGTTTTGGTTACCTATACAAAGAAAGGCGAGAGCTTGTCAAAGAGTTTTTAAAAGACACGGTATCAAATTTGAAGTGTACTCTAAAGGGTAAGATCATGCAAGCAATATTTGCACATTTCTCTTGAATAATTTATTTTATTAAATTTTATTTTTCTATACTTTCTAGTTATTTTATTTTCCTTTATATTTTATTTAATTCATTTAGTTCAATCATCGTTTTTCCTTTTGCTTCGTTTACTTTTTTTTTTTTTTGATACACATTTGTGATATTTTGAAATTCAAAATTATTTATAAGTAATTTTCTCTTTTATCTCTCGCTAGCTGTTCTGCTAGCAATATATTTGGTTGTTTCAGAGGACTCTTTCGCGGAGATACCCTTCTTGGTAGTGTGACCGTTAAACTTCAACCTTTAGAAACACAGTGTGAAATTCACGACAGTTTTGATGTAAGTATTTTGTTAGTAAAAAAGAAGACCACCAGCATTAGCAGCTAATGAAACGCAAATGTTTTTGTTTTTATGTAATAATAATACAATTTAAGTTTTTGAAAACTTATTGTGTTCATATGGATACTTTTTCTTTTTTATTTTTTCATTGAGTTACCTATTAACTGATATTTTAACTACACTGTTTCTACTTTAACACATTTATCTTTCAGTTGTTAGAGGGAAGAAAAAAAGTAGGAGGCAAATTAGAAATACGTATCCGTATTAGAGATCCAATACTTACTAGGGAAGTTGAACAGACATCAGAACGATGGCTTATTATTGACAGTCTTACATAGGATATGAAATACAATTGAAAGTACAGCCATACTTTCTTTATTTTTTCATTACTTCGTCAATTAACAAAAACAAATAACCGTTTGCACCAGTGTAAAATGTACATATTGTTATGTTATAAGAAAAGTTATATATTAATTTTTCAGTTACTTGCGTGCTAAATAGAGTAACAAAATATTTATGTTATATTAAAATTCGCCTGTTGAACTAAAAGAAAAGAGGTAATAGTTTGTAATTGTAAAACGACTGCCTTTGTATTAGGTCTAATCATTCCTTAAACATAATTTCAAAGTAAGTTGCTGTTTTAAATATTTTTTCATACCTATTGTATTTTGTGGTTCGACATTCTAAAACCACTTCATTTTTAATGAGTTTTATTTTTGTTTTTGTTATCTTTAATGAAATATTAAATTTTATTCCGAGACCGTAAGATTATTTATTAGACTCTAATCCCAATTGTCCTTTGTATATCAATTTATATTTAATTTTGTTGTTAACGTTATGTACTATAGTTATTTAAATGTGATAATAAAATATGCCTTTTTAATTAATTTATATGTGCTTGTAAATTAACTCTATTGTTTAGTGCTTTGCAAAATAAATTATTTTTTATGTAAGAACTTTGTTTAATTAATGATTTTCATATTTTTCTTCACCCGCTGAGACACAAATGCAGAGCGTGAAGTTGGTGCGCACATTATGCGTATGTCTCACTTATTTTACGATGAGGCAGAAGTAGAAACTTTTTAATGGCAAAAAATGCGCGTAGTGGTCGTAAAGGGCAACATTATCGTCTACGTAAATGAAAACTAATAGCTTGATATTAAATGGGAATAATAACTGTCTAAAGAATAATAATAAAACTAAAAAAAAAGTCAGACTTATCCAGTAGTTTTTACGTGATATCCGCTCTTATAGATGCAGATGAAGTAAAATACTATTGCAATTACAAATAGAAAATTGTGTATTAAATTGTTTTTATTAATAGTAAATTTTTGCAACTGCTGAAATTAATATTCCACTTTTGATAAGGATTTTTAATTAAGTTGCAAGTAACTGTTGAAAAAGTAATCTCCATAAAGAAGTAAACAATGAGGCCAAGAATAAACTAATACTATTTCAAATCAGTTTCGTAAATGAGTCAATCAATTTATTTGGGGACATTTAAAAAATTATAAATTAAAAGTTTTATACAAATCAGAAAACCAAGTAGGCGCATTTATGAGAGACGTATTGGAGGTCATAAGGGCCACTCTCCCCAAACAATTAGATCCAAAACTTAATCATTTTGAGGTAGTCAACATTAAGGGACACAGCACTTAATTATTATTTGAAGGAATAGAAAGATACATATGTAAGTAATCAAATTTGTTATTATTAAATGAGAACTTAAAAGTGCGTATGTCAAATTTTTTATTGAAACTTTTAAATTACGTTTCTCAGTTTTAACCTGTATATTGTCATCTATTCTAAAAAGTCGCTGGAAATACACGCGTCCGGAAGTTGATGAAATTGTGTGTGGAAAGTGTTTAATTAAAATTAAAGACTATCTAGGTCGAATTATACAGTAGTGTTCTGTGCAAATATTTTCTGGAATTGCTTGTTTTGGACTACTTTTTTGAATGGTTGCTTTAATACAATAGGTAAGTTTGTTATTGTTAATTTTGTATGTTACTTGCTAACTAATAACCCTTTTCCAACGAATGTTTATTTACTATTTGACTGTTTGTAATGTAGATAACTGTTTTACAGTTTGCGTAATAGACAAATACAAAAGGTGTAAATTACAATTTTAATAATCTCACTAAGCGGTAAAAAGTTTTTTAAACTAATAACTGCTTCATAGTGTATATGTACATACATACATACATACATATGTATCTGTATATCACAATAACCCATTTTAAAATCCTTTGATTAGCAGTTCAATACCCATATACACGTGTGAAGCTAATTTTACTGATAAAAAGTAATTAAATACTTTAGTTGTATTGTTACTAACATAATATTGTTATACATGTAATCTCCAAGTTAAAAATACTTTGTAATAAGTAGTGATGAAGCTATTAAATACTAGTAAACAAACAGAAGTAAACAATAGGAATTTACGATGAAGACAGTTAGGTTTTGATACTAACTTGTTGAACATTTCATTATTTTTATTGGTAAATTTGCAGTAGGTAATATATTGTATACATATAATTAATATCAACATTCGTATTTTACTTAACATTATACAAACGCTATTGTTAATCTAGAGTACTACTAATATATGAAATAGACTGATATATATCTGCTGAATATCTACAGTTCGTATCATAAAACTGTATTTTACATAACATATCTTTTATCTGCTGTTATTAACGCATGAGATTTATATCTGTTAAATATCCACAATTCTTATCAAAGTAGCGGCGTACTCAGAGAATTCGTCATAAACAAAAAATTTGATAAAATTTTAGAGTGTTATCCATGTACTTATAATGGTTATATGAATAATTCTATTTGCCTGCCTGAAATAAAAACACAAAAAAAACTCCTTGATGTTATTTATATCAGCAATTTTAAGTGAAACTTACTTGATCGATTGATATAATATACAATGGTAGATAGCAATACGTTTTTAGGGAACACCTAGTATTTTTGTTCCCATTTCGACTGTCTTTAGAACGAATTTCTCTTTTACTGTCTATCATCAAATTTGATTACTTGAGGACAGTTTTCAGGGTAGGTAGAGATATTTTTATAAAAATGCGGTTGAAAGAATATATTCCAGCGTTTTACTCATTTGAGAGATATTAGAAGCAAGAACAGAAGTGAAAAGGGGTAGAGACAGATAGATGGAACGTTCTAGTTTTAGGGAAATGTGAAGATTAGCTAGGATAATTAAGAGATTATGATGATAAAGCTTAAAAGTTGATATAATAATTACCATTTCGTTACAGAGAGAGATGGTTATTTATATCAGGAGGTGAGTTATAATTTTATAAAACAGACCTAAGTATAGGAAGCTTTTCGTAAAACTTTTATCATGAAGGGTTTATACTGTATTTAAGAACGCACTGTGTCGGTTTTTTTAAAAATTAATGTAAAAGGAAAAATTACGTAAATCGTTAGTAATACGTGTAAAAAATATCTGAAGAACTCGTGGATTACGTGCTACACAGCTTATCAGAAAGCACGCATTGCCCTACTGATTACTTATATTGAGTTCGAATCGAAAACATGTAATTTTACTTTCACGGAAAATTCCATATTTTAACTTTTCAGTTAGCTAATTAAAAATCGCCCAGCATTAAATAAACATGTACGCAATACATTTCTATTGTTGCTAGAGCGATAAAAATTTGTATGGTAATAAGGTCGTGTGCTACGTGATTCTATCATCAATTTGGATAAATACGTAATAACGCGAACCCTCCCACGACTAGTTCACATTTAAAATTGCAATAACGTCATGATTTCAATTATTTTTAGGAGCAAAATTTAAAAGGCAAAATTATGAATTGTAAAAAGATAATAGCAACTACTAAAGTTCTAAGAAACGTTTACAAATAATTTAAATGTTCAATATTATTTATTTATTAGGATTTCATTTATATATTATTAATTTCAGCTTATTTTAATTTAATTGCAATTTTTTCATTTTGTCAATACATATGTATAAATTACGTTTTTACCGTAGCGATATTTTTCCCTAATTTCAGTTATGAATAAAGCGCAACATTTCCTTCCAGGTAAGAAATTCCATTAAGAAAGGATTTTACCATCCTCCAGGTAGTTTCCACTTTCGCCTTTCGCTCGGGTAGCAATTTTCACGCGAAGCCTAATATACCTTTGTTAAATGGTCTTGCTGATAAAGTCTTGATGTTAGTCTTGGTCCTGCGTGTTAACTCTTGGTCTTACTCATTTAATCTGATACTTTTTTTAAATAATTCTTTTAAGCACAAATTTTCTTTTAAAGAAAGTAGCGTTAATAGCTGTGAAGGTTATGAAAAATCGAGAAAGAATATATTAAAATTGCATCAAACAGTTTTAATAATAATTTTGGTAAAGGTCTAGATGATGGCCCCCACTCCCGAAAGGGTTGGCGGTGGGGGGGATCGAAAGAAGAGGTCTCCCCCACCACTGTACCATAAAAAGTTCGTGGCGGTCTTACCCCCATAAAAAGTTATGGGGGTTCAAAGTTAATAAATATGCCAATTTTTATACATTTCTAGGCATGTAAATATTTATATAGTCATTCTTAAACAATATTCAAAGGTAAAACTAATGAAAAATACATAAAAATATTGAGAAAGTTATATAAAACATTATTTAAATATCTTTATCAATAGGGTAGGTTAGGTTAGGTTAGGTTAGGTTATCGGGTTTTGTTCAAGTGACCACCCTCTTTCGATCCCCCACTTCCACCCGCTTGAAAATAATTTTTTTATTGAATTTTATTTGAATTATAGTGTATGAAAATTGTCCAAATAATCAACTTTCAACCCCCATAACTTTTTATGGGGGTGAGACCGCCACGAACTTTTTATGGTACAGTGGTGGGGGAGACCTCCTCTTTCGATCCCACTTACCGCCAACCCCGAAGGGGGTGGAGGCCATCATCTAGACCTTTACATTATTATTAATTAATAAAAAAAAATTCACCCTTCATTTGTTTTGAATTGCTGCAAAAAACTTTAACATTTGTTCACTTACCATTGGAGTATAAAGACTTAAAAGAAAGGCTAACGATCAGCGAAAATTAAGTGAAATATTTGTGAGGCAATTTTATTTATCACCGAAAGTGTCAATATGTTTGTCGAAAATTTTCTAATTCCATTCCTGTAAATACCACTCGACTGATTATTATTGTGTGAAAGTGAATTTAATATCAAACAAAACGGAATACGATAATAACCCTTCACGTTTTTGAGGCGTGCTATTAGTTTGACGTCACAATTTCGATGGGAAACTTTTTGGCCTCGTATACCGCTGATAAAAATAGAATACAAACCACCAATGGACTGCATGTGTGTGAAAGTTTCTATTAAAGCAACCCAAGTTCATTTTCATAATTGATAATGATAATAACCAACTCGGTAAACTTTACAAAATACATACACACACACACGCTATTAAAATTTGGTATTTTTAGAATGATATCATATATGTGCAACGACCTATCCAAAATCGTTCTGTATGACTTGTCAGTCTTTATAATTAAAAAAATTACTAACACGGACTTTCAGTTTTACTAATTAAAATTAATTTTGTAAAAATTCAACACATTTTTCAATTTCAACCTTCGAGTAAATCCAACTACAAATTTACAAACTACAGATGTTGAATTTTTTAAAATGTTGAAATAGGTATATCTATATCACTAATTTTATATAAAAGAGCATTAGAGCCAAGTTTCAATTAAATCTGACTCATCGTAAGGTCGTCAGCCCTAAGACTGGTTAGACACGTACCTCCACTCTTTCCTATCCTGAGCTAGTCTTCGCATTTCTCTAAAACTAGAACAACCCACATCCTTAACTATTTGCGAACAGTAATCTAATCCAGGTCTACCTCT